TACGACCCTGTGAGTACGACCCTGTGAGTACGACCCTGTGAGTTCGACCCTGTGAGTTCGACCCTGTGAGTTTGACCCTGTGAGTTCGACCCTGTGAGTTCGACCCTGTGAGTTCGACCCTGTGAGTTCGACCCTGTGAGTTCGACCCTGTGAGTTCGACCCTGTGAGTTCGACCCTGTGAGTTCGACCCTGTGAGTTCGACCCTGTGAGTACGTGTGTTCAGGAAACCTGATCACTTTACAAATCAGAAAATATTCCGTAAAGACATGACACATTTCAGAACTGGCGTTTATTGAGACATTTCGCTCTTATAGCTTTATCAGCCGGATCAACCAGACTGCTATTGGATATGTGGGCCAACAGACCGCCAGGAGCAACAGCCTGGTTAACCAGGCGAGAGCCAGACAAGCCTGGCCTAGGGCCGGGCTGCTGGAATAGGAAAACTTTCGAACCCCATTGAAGGTGTAAAAGGTAAGTTCTTAAAGCTCTCACAGAGCTTTAAATGAGCTTTAAGCTCTATCAAAACTTTAAGTAAACGCTGCTCCAACAAGAAATAAATCTTGTTCTACAGCGTTATTTCTTCAGTGTTACTGACAATAAGAAATTTAGATCCAAAGGTGTTCGTATTTACCTGTGGTGGCGTAAAAGAGAAAGTGGCGGTGCGCATCTCCCACGCTGCCTGCCGTACGAACTTTCTACGGGCTCCCTAAAATTGTTACGCTGGTTTGGTGGGTGAGGTTTGTTGCGCTGGCTTGGTGAGTGAGGTTTGTTGCGCTGGCTTGGTGGGTGAGGTTTGTTGCGCTGGCTTGGTGGGTGAGGTTTGTTGCGCTGGCTTGGTGGGTGAGGTTGTTGCGCTGGCTTGGGGGTGAGGTTTGTTGCGCTGGCTTGGTGGGTGAGGTTTGTTGCACTGGCTTGGTGGGTGAGGTTTGTTGCACTGGCTTGGTGGGTGAGGTTTGTTGCGCTGGCTTGGTGGGTGAGGTTTGTTGCGCTGGCTTGGTGGGTGAGGTTTGTTGCGCTGGCTTGGTGGGTGAGGTTTGTTGCGCTGGCTTGGTGGGTGAGGTTTGTTGCGCTGGTTTGGTGGGTGAGGTTTGTTGCACTGGCTTGATGGGTGAGGTTTGTTGCACTGGCTTGCTGGGTGAGGTTTGTTGCACTGGCTTGGTGGGTGAGGTTTGTTGCACTGGCTTGGTGGGTGAGGTTTGTTGCGCTGGCTTGGTGGGTGAGGTTTGTTGCACTGGCTTGGTGGGTGAGGCTTGTTACGCTGGCTTGGTGGGTGAGGTTTGTTGCGCTGGCTTGGTGGGTGAGGTTTGTTGCACTGGCTTGGTGGGTGAGGTTTGTTGCACTGGCTTGGTGGGTGAGGCTTGTTACGCTGGCTTGGTGGGTGAGGTTTGTTGCGCTGGCTTGGTGGGTGAGGTTTGTTGCACTGGCTTGGTGGGTGAGGTTTGTTGCGCTGGCTTGGTGGGTGAGGTTTGTTGCACTGGCTTGGTGGGTGAGGTTTGTTGCGCTGGCTTGGTGGGTAAGGTTTGTTGCGCTGGCTTGGTGGGTGAGGTTTGTTGCGCTGGCTTGGTGGGTGAGGCTTGTTACGCTGGCTTGGTGAGTGAGGTTTGGTGGGTGAGGTTTGTTGCGCTGGCTTGGTGAGTGAGGTTTGGTGGGTGAGGTTTGTTGCGCTGGCTTGGTGAGTGAGGTTTTGTGGGTGAGGTTTGTTGCGCTGGCTTGGTGAGTGAGGTTTGGTGGGTGAGGTTTGTTGCGCTGGCTTGGTGGGTGAGGTTTGTTGCGCTGGCTTGGTGGGTGAGGTTTGTTGCACTTGCTTGGTGGGTGAGGTTTGTTGCGCTGGCTTGGTGAGTGAGGTTTGGTGGGTGAGGTTTGTTGCGCTGGCTTGGTGGGTGAGGTTTGTTGCGCTGGCTTGGTGAGTGAGGTTTGTTGCGCTGGCTTGGTGAGTGAAGTTTGGTGGGTGAGGTTTGTTGCGCTGGCTTGGTGGGTGAGGTTTGTTGCGCTCTCTTGGTGAGTGAGATTTGGTGGGTGAGGTTTGTTGCGCTGGCTTGGTGAGTGAGGTTTGGTGGGTGAGGTTTGTTGCGCTGGCTTGGTGGGTGAGGTTTGTTGCGCTGGCTTGGTGGGTGAGGTTTGTTGCGCTGGCTTGGTGAGCGAGGTTTGGTGGGTGAGGTTTGTTGCACTGGCTTGGTGGGTGAGGTTTGTTGCGCTGGCTTTGTGAGTGAGGTTTGGTGGGTGAGGTTTGTTGCGCTGGCTTGGTGATTGAGGTTTGGTGGGTGAGGTTTGTTGCGCTGGCTTGGTGAGTGAGGTTTGGTGGGTGAGGTTTGTTGCGCTGGCTTGGTGAGTGAGGTTTGGTGGGTGAGGTTTGTTGCGCTGGCTTGGTGAGTGGGGTTTGGTGGTGAGGTTTGTTGCGCTGGCTTGGTGAGTGAGGTTTGGTGGGTGAGGTTTGTTGCGCTGGCTTGGTGAGTGAGGTATGGTGGGTGAGGTTTGTTGCGCTGGCTTGGTGAGTGAGGTTTGGTGGGTGAGGTTTGTTGCGCTGGCTTGGTGAGTGAGGTTTGGTGGGTGAGGTTTGTTGCGCTGGCTTGGTGAGTGAGGTTTGGTGGGTGAGGTTTGTTGCGCTGGCTTGGTGAGTGAGGTTTGGTGGGTGAGGTTTGTTGCGCTGGCTTGGTGAGTGAGGTTTGGTGGGTGAGGTTTGTTGCGCTGGCTTGGTGAGTGAGGTTTGGTGGGTGAGGTTTGTTGCGCTGGCTTGGTGAGTGAGGTTTGGTGGGTGAGGTTTGTTGCGCTGGCTTGGTGAGTGAGGTTTGGTGGGTGAGGTTTGTTGCGCTGGCTTGGTGAGTGAGGTTTGGTGGGTGAGGTTTGTTGCGCTGGCTTGGTGAGTGAGGTTTGGTGGGTGAGGTTTGTTGCGCTGGCTTGGTGAGTGAGGTTTTGTGGGTGAGGGTTGTTGCGCTGGCTTGGTGAGTGAGGTTTGGTGGGTGAGGTTTGTTGCGCTGGCTTGGTGAGTGAGGTTTGGTGGGTGAGGTTTGTTGCGCTGGCTTGGTGAGTGAGGTTTGGTGGGTGAGGTTTGTTGCGCTGGCTTGGTGAGTGAGGTTTGGTGGGTGAGGTTTGTTGCGCTGGCTTGGTGAGTGAGGTTTGGTGGGTGAGGTTTGTTGCGCTGGCTTGGTGAGTGAGGTTTGGTGGGTGAGGTTTGTTGCGCTGGCTTGGTGAGTGAGGTATGGTGGGTAAGGTTTGTTGCGCTGGCTTGGTGAGTGAGGTTTGGTGGGTGAGGTTTGTTTCGCTGGCTTGGTGAGTGAGGTTTGGTGGGTGAGGTTTGTTGCGCTGGCTTGGTGAGTGAGGTTTGGTGGGTGAGGTTTGTTGCGCTGGCTTGGTGAGTGAGGTTTGGTGGGTGAGGTTTGTTGCGCTGGCTTGGTGAGTGAGGTTTGGTGGGTGAGGTTTGTTGCGCTGGCTTGGTGGGAGAAGTATCCAAATTGTAGTGTTTTTTCAGTGTTTTTGTATTTTCGTAGAGTTTTGTAGTACTGCCAGCAATAATGAGAAGATACACGTTGCAGTGTACAGGTATTTCTACCTTTATTTAAATGGAGAAAATTCCGGTTATTTTTTGTAAAATGCTGAGGTAATATATAATATATACCTGGAAAGTACTTTAGGGCCTTGTCCCAAATTTGCACACTGCTATAACAACGTACTGGAGGGAGAGATATGGGAGGCAGTGCAAAATAAACCCAGTGAAAAGCAAGAGATCGGTGGGCACATTAAGAGAGCATTGTATCAACATCCGTGGCCTTAGACTATTCAACATGATATCAAAGCAACACTGCAGGGACAAGTTTAGAAGTCTTCAAGGGGAAAATGGACAAATATCTTCATTAAGTGCCAGATCAACCAGGCTGCGATAGATATGTGGGCCCAGCAGCATCAGCCTAGTTGACTAGGCAAGCCCCAGACAAGCCTGGCCCTTGGCAGGGCTCCGAAGATAGAAAAACTCTCGAATCTCATCAAAGGTATGGTGCGTTTGTGGTGAAAATATGTATTAAGAAATGTTAAAATATCTATCATTTTAGATAACCTTCCTTTTGTGTGTTGCAGTAGGCAGTGATAGGTGTGCGCACTCACAAAGTGTGTCCAACCAGAGGAGGTCAAGGTTTCAGTTGTGAGAGGCATTGGGGTCGCTGTTCAAGGAGTGTTGATAATGTGTACAATGGCCGCAGAGATGGCTATCAGGGTTGTGATGTTACCACGGAACTGCGTAAGATGGCAAACAACGGGATTATGAACGACAAATATGTCAACACTGTAGATTGTTGTGGCTTATGGCTAATGCGGGGATCTAGTTATCAAATTGATTGTATATTCTTTACATGAAAAATGATTGTATATGAAATTAATGATAGCTGAGACCCAGTGTTGATTTGAATCGCACTTAAACTACGATACAAAGTTCTGTTTTGGTTGTCATGAGCGGGCGTCGACTAGGGTAAAAGCTGTGTAGTGAAACAGCAGATATAGAGTTCTTTCTACGCAGTGTTTACTGATAGTGTTCCACCACAGTGCAGGTGATGCCGCAAAGATCACAAGAGCAAAATTACTCTCATCCTTCAGTTATTAGTTTCCGGTTCGTGTGTACGGTCGTGTTTCTTTCGTTAGACTTAGCAGGGAAGTTCAGTGACCTCACAGTCTGTCGACCGTCATTAATGCTGTGCCCTTCCCAAACTGACCACGGCCACTAACCTACCCATTAGCAATCTTTTTTACCGATATGCGAATCAAATTTGTGTGTGTGTTATTTACTCATTTATCAGGGGTAAAGTCACCTGATGTGTGTTTTGATGAGATGATGACCTGCTCGATGGATCAGTAAGAGTTCGTTAAAGAAAAACTGTGAGCGTTTAATGTGTCCAGGACTCAGATTGATAAGTCTAGTGTTCGTGATAAAGTACACGGCTTGACATCGATGACGTGCGGCGGCGCCCTAGTGCTGTTGTTATGCTTTGTTAAACTGACAAAGACGAAAGTGTTCCTGAAGAGTCATGTGAAAAGCCTAAGTAGCTCTGGGTGGTACCTCACTGTGTAGTCCTGGGTGATACCTCACTGAGTAGCTTAGGCTGATGGTCACTGATATTTAGTAAGCTACTCACACATCTTTGAAGAGTCTTGTAGGAAGCCTAAACAAGGGGCTCTATAACAAGTGTTCACAGACGCTCAGTAACTTACTCAGACATCCTTGAAAACTGCTGTGGAGATCCTCAATGAGAAGCTCTTGCTGGCGTCCCTTCCTCCCCCCACAGCACATGTAAGCTCAGTCAGGTCTTCATATTCTCGCACTTTGCGACCTAGCGTAGGTGCTGCCACCTGGCAGACCTAGCTAAGACCTAGAGCTCTGCTGAGTGCACCCATATTTTCTCTTACTAACTGGACAGGCGCAGCATAGGTCGGCCGACGCATCCCTCACTCTCTCGCTAGGCCTACGGCCTGGCGTGGGGCTACCAACCAAACTCGCTATACTACTTACGGTTCGCCTCTTTTACTGTCATTCCAGCCGCTACCAATCTACCTAACGCCCAGAGCAAGCCCACAGAAGAGCTGTGAATCGACCGCTGCAACAGCAAATATGTGAGTATACTCACACATACACACACACGCGCGCGTGCACACACACACACACACACATACACACACATACACACACATACACACACATACACACATACACACACATATGCACACACATACATACACATACACCTACACACACACCTACACACACACCTACACACACACCTACACACACATATACACACACATATACACACACATACACACACACATACACACACACATACACACACACACACACACACACACACACACACACACACACACACACACGCACACACACGCACGCACACACACACACACACACACACACACACACACACACACACACACACACATACACACACCCTGTACACAGTGTACGTTAGGCCCATATTGGAGTATGCGGCATCAGTTTGGAACCCACACCTAGCCAAGCACGTAAAGAAACTAGAGAAAGTGCAAAGGTTTGCAACAAGACTAGTCCCAGAGCTAAGAGGTATGTCCTACGAGGAGAGGTTAAGGGAAATCAACCTGACGGCAGTGGAGGACAGGAGAGATAGGGGGGACATGATAACGACATACAAAATACTGAGAGGAATTGACAAGGTGGACAAAGACAGGATGTTCCAGAGATTGGACACAGTAACAAGGGGACACAGTTGGAAGTTGAAGACACAGATGAATCACAGGGATGCTAGGAAGTATTTCTTCATCCACAGAGTAGTCAGTAAGTGGAATAGTTTGGGAAGCGATGTAGTGGAGGCAGGATCCATACATAGCTTTAAGCAGAGGTATGATAAAGCTCACGGTTCAGGGAGAGTGACCTAGTAGCGACCAGTGAAGAGGCGGGGCCAGGAGCTCGGACTCGACCCCTGCAACCTCAACTAGGTGAGTACAACTAGGTGAGTACACACACACACACACACACACACACACACACACACACACACACACACACACAATTAGGTGAGTACAATTAGGTGAGTACACACAGAGGACCCAGTAGCGATCAGTGAAGAGGCGGGGCCAGGAGCTGAGTCTCGACCCCTGCAAACACAATTAGGTGAGTACACTCCTGAAATAGAATCACAATGTGAAAGAACAAAATGAAGATCATCGAAATTCCTTTGAACCCGTCCTGGGAATTGTCAGAGTAGGACACACACAGTTGTGGTCACTATATTAAGGTTACCCTTTGTTGTTGTTGTTGCTGTTTTTTTTTTTTTTTGAGGGGTTGCTGTTCTTGTTGTTTGTGTACCTTTCTTCGGCCATGTTTGTTGTTTTTGTTGCTGTATCTGCCTGCTGTCATGTTTATTTTTGTTGTATTTTTTCCTCCGCAGTGTTTGTTTTAGTTGTTTTTTGATTGTCATTGTTTACCTCTTCTGTTTTTGTTATTGCTCTTGTTGTTTTTACACTGAATAATTGTATTTCGTGCCTAATGTATTCTTATTAAAAGCACCGTACAGCTGACCTTCCACCTGAACGGCGCTACGCTACTCCACGACCTTTCTTGGTCCACCTCTCTCTCCCCTTTTCACCTCCTTCCCCTTCTCTGCTGCGCCGTTCCCTTCCCCCTTTCCTGAGGCGGGGGTGAGGGTGGGGGTGGGTTGGAGGCAGAAGTGAAAGTGGCGGTCCGCCACCAGGTTAGTGACCCACCGCCACCATCACGTTTGTACGAACGCCACTTCCAGCTTATTGTTTTCGATTTACATCTCTTCCTTCTTTCCCGCTTGATTAAATTCCCATTCTCTCTCTCTCTCTCCTCTCTCTCTCTCTCCTCCTCTCTCTCTCTCTCTCTCTCTCTCTCTCTCTCTCTCTCTCTCTCTCTCTCTCTCTCTCTCTCTCTCTCTCTCTTTGTTTAACTCACAATACATAGACAATGTTTTGACTGACACCCGTCATTGGTTTACACCCTCCTGATGAGACTCGCTCACACCACACACTTCTTCCCCTCATAGACACTTCCTTGCAGCTGGTTAACGGTCTCCTATCCTTACCTCCTGCAGCTAGCAACGGTCTCCTATCCTTGCCTCCTGCAGTTGGGCAACGGTCTCCTATCCTTGCCTCCTGCAGCTGGCCAACGGTCTCCTATCCTTGCCTCCTGCAGCTGGCCAACGGTCTCCTATCCTTGCCTCCTGCAGCTAGTCAACGGCCTCCAATCCTTGCCTCCTGCAGCTGGCTAACGGTCTCCCATCCTTGCCTCCTGCAACTGGCCAGTGTTCCTCTACCCAACTCCCTGCAGCTGACCACTGTTGCTCACTCCTGCTCCCTATAGCGAGCTAGTGACCTGATTAGACCTTGTTTGACCCGAGGAAGAGATATACGTTGCGAAACGAGCTTTTATCAAGGAAAACGTTTCGCTCTCTTTGAACTTCATGACGTGGTGAACCTCTAGCACAACGATATATTGTCTCACTAAATGCCAATTCTGGAACGCTTCATTTCTTTACCATGGTAAGCAGCAAGTCAGACGTCTAGATCTTCCAAGCCCCGAGTCTCGTGTCTTCATGAGCAACAGCTAACAAGTGTTTACAAAGATGCTGAACACGGTGAATAAACGACGTTTCGCTCACGGAGGAGAGAAGACTCCACTGTGATGTATGTAGGTATAATGTACCCCTTTTCCGTGGTAGTTTTATTCGACTGGCATACACCCTTTCGTAGCTAATATCGTTTATTATTGCAAGTTAAAGCGAGCATAGTGGTATCAGCAACTGTTAATCTTCAACTAACTAGGAGATTCTTCCCTAGAAATTATTTAACTTAAGTAAATCATTCATGTTGTATTATATACAGCGTAGCATGTTCTCCATATGATTTACTTATTCTTGTTTTAATAATAAGCCAATTAAGTAAAAACATTGTGTTGTTGGTGCTGAGTGCCAGTAAACGTTAACCTCAGCATTACCTTGCCTCTCCCCCAGCAGTTAGTGATCTCCCAGTGGTTTTCCGATATAGACATCGGTCATGAGTCGCCATTCAAGGGATGAAACAATCTCCTGTCTGTGCCCCACCAGTCATTCCAGGTTTCCAGTTAAGTACCAGTAGGCCTACTCATAATAGACTTCTTGCTTAGAAATAGTTAAATGAGCCTTAACGCAAGTTATTGAAATTATTATGGAATTAATTACTGGTATTTCAAGTGATTACCATGAGACTTAATTTTTATTTCTTGCAAATTTAATAAATTTTATTCGAAACTCGTGTAGCGATTTCATTGATTTGTTGAATTGGGGGTTCATTGTTATTTTTTTGTATTAATATTCCATAATAACATGAATGGCTGGCCAGAAGTACCATAGAGACCGAGAAACATCGTTAAATAAAATACTTTCTCTTTAGTTGTTTTTAGTTCACCATTTGTCGCCGTCACCCCAATTTGCAACGTCAGCGTGGTTAGCAACAACGTGCAACACAATGTTCAACATGGTTAGCAAAAACGTGCAACACAACGTTCAACATGGTTAGCAAAACGTGCAACACAACGTTCAACATGGTTAGCAAAAACGTGCAACACAACGTTCAACATGGTTAGCAAAAACGTGCAACACAACGTTCAACATGGTTAGCAAAAACGTGCAACAAAAACTTTCAACATGGTTAGCAAAAACGTGCAACACAACGTTCAACATGGTTAGCAAAAACGTGCAACACAACGTTCAACATGGTTAACAAAAACATGCAACACAACGTTCAACATGGTTAGCAACACAACGTTCAACATGGTTAGCAACAACATGCAGCACAACTTTCATCATGGTTAGCAACAACATGCAACACAACGTTCAACATGGTTAGCAAAAACGTGCAACACAACGTTCGACATGGTTAGCAAAAACGTGCAACACAACGTTTAACATGGTTAGCAAAAACGCGCAACACAACGTTCAACATGGTTAACAAAAACATGCAACACAACGTTCAACATGGTTAGCAACACAACGTTCATCATGGTTAGCAACACCATGCAAGTGGAAAATGAAAAGGTCCATAATTAGAACTTTCAGAACAAGGGAAATAGTGCCACTGCCACTGTTGACCCTATTCAGATCTCTTGTGCTCTTTCGTTTAGACTATTGTGTTGACGGCGCAGTTCAAGGCAGGGGAAACAGAGCAGGAACAAAAACTGAAATCATACACAAATAACCCTTACATAGGAGAGAGGACTTGGACCATTTACAAAGTCACACTGAAATCATTTACAGCCCGCATAGAGCTTATAATATATGTAACTTACTGTGATGTTCTTATTCCCCCTACCTTCCTCACCTCTCTTTATCTTGTCTCCTCACTCCCTGCACCCATCCCTACTCCCAACCATCTAACCATTTCTTTCATAACCCAAAATCCTATGTGATGGAATATGGCAGGGCAAACATGGCTACTTTTGGTCCCTCTGTTAACCATCACATAGGATAGCATTACACTGTCTATGTATCCAATTATATTAAAGAATGTCTTTCCTTCCTGCCTCCCTCCGCCCTCTCTCCTCACTCCCACCCCTTTCACTCCTCTCTCCCCTCCACTCCCTTCTGCTCTTCACTCCTCTCTCCCCTCCACTCCTCCCCTACCCCTCCATGCTCACTCATCCCAACAACAACAATGACTAAAATGAATCCTAAAGGCGATTAAAAATCACAAGCCAAGGTTTTTAATTTTTTTCTCCTTTAACTAGCGTGTTGTGTGTGTACTGCGTCAGGTAGTGTTAGGTAAAGGTGGCGGGGTGACTCACCGTGTGCACGGTGTGATGTTGAGGTCCTAGAGGCCAGGAGTGACGACCTAGTGTGATGATGAAGTTTTGGAGGCCAGGTGTGAGTCACACAATGTGATGCTGAGGTCCAGGAGGCCAGGAGTGACGAACACGTTGTGATGTTGAGGTTCCGGAGGCCAGAAGTGACGAACACACTGTGTTGTTGAGGTCCTGGAGGCTAGGAGTGACACACACGGTGTGGCGGTGAGGTCCTGGAAGCCAAGAGTGACACGCACACTCTGGTGGTGAGGTCTTGGAGGCCAGG